AAAGTTATCTGTATGGTCTTATTTTATGTCATTTTGGTCCCTGTGATAGAAGAAGTAGCCATGAGAAGCCCTAGTAGCAAAACCATAATTTTGAAAGAATAGGAGTACGCCATGCATACGTGTGTACGCTTAGTATACTAGGGCGCGCCCTAGTATGTGTGGTGTACTCATCAAACATTGGAAACCCTAATTTTTAGGGTTGAGCCCTATATAATCCCCCTTATAACCTCATTTCCCTCACCCTTTCAGCCTCCGCCCTCTTTGAGTGGATTTTTGATATGAGCTTATTTAGTCATAAAAATCATTCATTATCTTATTAACTATTGTTGACTTTATATCATTTTTGGACAAAAGGTACTTAATTAGCTTAGTATTTCAATTTCAGTAATAAAGACATGCTCGAATGAAAAAGGAAAAGGATTTAGCAATTGGAAGCTTGGACTTTGAAGTTTGAAGAAAGAAGGCTAAAAGACAAAGGAACTCAACGAGTTGGCCTTAAACTCGACAAGTTGATCCAAATATTCTTGATTTGAAGATGTCTTTCCGTACACGCCGTACATGCGGATTTGAGAAAAAACTCGTCGAGTTAGTCTTAAAAATTCCGACAAGTTGGGTTGATTTTTGGAAATCCATATATATATATATATATATATATATATATATATATATATGTATATATATATATATATACATATATATATATATATATATATATATATATATATATATATATATATATATATGATTTTTGAAAATACATGTTGATTTTTGGAAATCAACATGTATTTTCTGATTGTTTCAAATTTTGAATTATTCGAAATTCAAGGAAGGAGATATAATTTGTTGAGAAATATAAGGATTCAAAACACAGGTTAAAATTTAATATTATTTTATTGATGACTACTTCTACTATTAGCTTAATGATTTGAACATCTTAAAAAAATAATATAATTATATTAAATCTATTTTTAGAAATAGTGTGATTTCTTTTATAAGATAGTATATATATATATATATATATATATATATATATATATATATATATATATATATATATATATAGTCAAGATCAAATAAGTAGAAAATTTTTGGTAGGAAGGTAAGAAATTTTTTATATGTATATTTTCTTAGCAAGAAAATGAAATGAATCACTAGATGATTCAAAAGTAAGATGATTCACAAGAAAAAATTCCGAAAAAAACACATTTATAATTCATTTTTAGGTAAATCAAGAAAAAAATTCACTTTTATGAGAATTTTAGTGAATATGAACAAAATCATCATAAAAATGAATCATCGAAATGTTTTTTCGGGATTTTTTGGTGAATCATGTTATTATTGATTCATTTAGTGATTCATTTGTTTTGTTCGCCAAAAAAATAAGTCGAAATTTTTTTTCTTACATTCCTACCAAAAAAGATTTCTTACCGGGCTATATATATATATATATATATATATATATATATATATATATATATATATATATATATATATATATATATATATATATATCGTCTAATACGATATGACACTCTTTACAATCTATTCCCTTTCCACAGTGGCATGGTAAGATCTTTCCAATTGAAAATCATATCCCTCATATTCGCAGCCATTTAATACCCAGTATGACATTGGTGATGCTTAACTCTAGTGGCAGGAAATCATCTACGACCCGTAGTTCGTGTAATGCGAGAATCATCTCCTTATAAATGCCTTTGCTTCCTTACACCATTCCATTACCAACCATTACTCCTTACATTGTTACCCGACACTAATAGCCTATAACGTATCACCAAGCGTTGTGACACGAAGTTATGAGTCGCCCTGCTGTCAATTAGTATCACCACTTCTAGACTGCCCATGTTTTCATATATTTTCATAGTGTATAGGGGCGTTAACAATAAATCCGAGTTTAATTTGACTTCCACCGCATCCAAGTGAGCATGATCCTAGCTTGTATCTAAGGATGTAATAAATGAGTCGAGCTACTGGCGAGCTACTTGGGATTGGATTGTTAGAATCTTGAAACGAGTCAAGCCATAACAAGCCCGAACCTGAGCTCAAGCCAAGAATGAATCTCATTTAACAAACAAGCCTCATCTTGAGCCTACACTTCAGAGCTCGTTTTATTTCGTGAGCTTAAACGAGTTTTTTTTTTAATTTGTTTTTATTTTTATATATTATATTTATTACTTATATATTAATAAAATATGAAAAAATAACGAGTCGATCCCGACCTTTAGTGAGCTTTACGGAGAAACGAGCCTTAATGAGCCTTAACGAGCCGATCCCAAGGTTCATATATGATCTACAAGCTCGAGCTCGAGCTTTAGTAGCTTTAAACGAGCATGGATAGTTGTGAATCTCGATTCGGCTCGACTCTTTTACATCTCTATGTATCAGACTGTTCTTCCTTCCTTCCTTCCATCTTGGTCCTCTTCTTCATCTTATTTTCCCATTAGGCTATTTATAGGACCCGTTAGGGTAACAATTGCCCCCTGCAAACTTGGCATCGCAGTTTAAGCATAACCTTTTTTCCCTTTTAGCAGCAAGTTCAACATTCGTAAGTCTTTCGAATGTCCATGGCTATGCCCCATGCCTCCTCCAACATTCCTATCGTAGGTTTCCATAGCTCCTTGGGTTTGCATAGGCATCATATTGCTTCCAAAACCCATTGGTGTTGTTGATGATCAGAATAGTCCACGCCCCGGTCGTTCCCTCTCTCATTGACACGGTTCTTATTACCGCCAATCCCATTGTGTGGGTCAAGCCCTAAGGTTGTATGACCCTCACCAAGTATCTAGGTTCTGATTTTAGCTGCTTGATGGAAGTTCTTTCCCGAAATTTATAATATAATCCTATACTACTGGAACGTCCCCTCCTTTCGGAAACGATCAAGGAGACACCGTGTCAGTCCTCTTCATATGGAAACATATCGAAACAGTAACGTTTAGACAATAAAAAGACAAATCTCCTTATTAATTAATAACCCTGTTTCTGGTGATTCTTATAAACTTGTCCAAATTTGCACGATGAATCAGGTTAATGAAGCTAACACTCGAAACGACGAACCAGACAGCCTCCTGATGAGTGATTATGACTCGGGTAATGAAATGGAAGATGTCAGAGTAAAGATGACTATGGCATAAAATTTTGATCCAAATTTATACAATGAGGTTTTTAAAAGGAAGAATTGAAGAAGTTTTGTGATGGATGCATGAGATCAACTCGACTAAGAAGACCACTAATGGAGATTAGTTGGGCTGCCAAAATGAGCTAAAACTACTGAATCCATAAGACCAAGTTGATGCATAAGGCCTTATTAGTTGCAAAAAAAAGAGACTCATAGAAGTATGGAGTTGATTATTTACAAGTTTATGTACCTCGTATGGAAACAGTAGGAACTGATATGGCATTGGATTCTCAAGAAAGGTGGAACATCTACCAGCTACAAGTCAAATCTCTGTTTCTAGATGGAAAGCTGAATGAAGACGTGTACCAAAGCAAACACAAGGGTACGAAGTAACAGCTTCAGAGATGAAAGTGTACAAAGAACATAAAGTTCTCTATTGGTTCAAACGAGCACACATGCATGGTTCAATCAACAGCCATTATACCAACAGGACTCAATGCTCAAACTCAAATTTTGAACATATATGATATCGTAAATACTAAAAGGGAAGAATATCCATGATCCATCATATTCTCTAACAAAACTCGCCACTTCAAATTTAGCCAGTTACCCGCTATATATATGACTACATATTCCAGGTAAAGAGGGGTTTGATTATTATTATTTTTACAATGCAGTACAAAGAACTTAAAATGCAACATAATCCAATCCAAAACATATATGGATTTACCTGAGTTATTGACGGATTTGCAGAGGTAGAATAAAACCGACCAAACCTGGATCACCGGTTGATGGAATGAAAGGGGTGTTTGGATATGCATGCTCATACCACACAAACACACTGATTGAGGGAACTCCTTTCATGTGGCAATGAATTCAATAAACAAATAAGTGCCTCCAACGGCTCCCTAGGCGTTAATAACCATCTTTGAATCAGATAAGGATAGCTCAAACACCAATGGCGTCTGAGCTATGCTCACACATTAAACAGAGAAGAAAAAAGTACAGCTGAATATGAAGAGACCATTAGGAAGAACTTTAGGCAGGATTACGAAGAAACACTAGGAATTTTATTATTAAAAAGGTATCATCTTATATAAAGCTATACACAGCTCAACAGGTGTAAGCTAGAGCTCCAATAATGCGTATCCAAAGTAAGTCGGTGCAGATTTTCATCAAACACTTGTACTGCAGTTCAATGGCACCCATAAATAACATCAAGCTTAGTTTGTGTAGCTTCTAATGATAAACGCCGGATTCCATAAATAGGGTTTGAAATTACTCAGGAGTCGCACATAAACATCAACATCGCTGCCCAATACACGAGCATATCTATATATCTTCAAATTAAACTATTGCAATACTACTCCTCCTTTTTCTAAATTTCTTCGTGACCCACATATTTTATTATTTTGTTTTGGATAAATTACACGAATGGTCCCTGAGGGTTTTGATAATCTACACGCTTGGTCCCTAATGGTTTTTTTTAACTTGGTCCATCCCTATAATATTTTTTATTGCACGTTTTGCTCCAGACATACTTAAAAATACTATACTGCCCTTTGATGTGAATTAAGAGCATTTGATTTGGCATGTGGAATTCAATGAAGAAAAAAACACTGTAGTTGAAATGATTTTGAGTATGAATTCTAAGATCAGAGTAAAGTAAGAATATTACTAGAAAGTAAGAGTTGATCACACTTTAAAAACATCAAACATACGTTTCTGAAATCCATCAAACACAAGTTTTTGAAATCCATCAAACACAATTTATTACCATAAGATACAAAAAACTATCAGAAGCTATCTTTATGGCAGAGAGAACAAGCAATGCCATGTCATCCAGACTACTTCAACAGCCTCAAACTTAGCCACTTGCTCCTGGAAGCATAGGGTCACGCTTAATCAACTGAGAAATCAAAAGGGGAAGTTAGTGAACAGTCAACATTATATATACCAGACTGAAAGAGTAAATAATAGTTGCAATTGAAGTGCATTGCAAGAATACAAATAAATGAAGGCCAAATGTATACTGGGTGAAGGTAATGAGTCTGTTACACTTCTTATTAGGCATACATTTCGTCCTGTCAGTTGTGGCTTAAGTAGAGCAGTGAGGGCAATAAGGTCTTTTTACTGTTACATCAGTTAGGTAGGCTTAGTTGAGTGGTTAGTGTTAGTAGTTGGTATCTTTGGTCATGATAGAATATAAGTGAATTCAGGAAGAGTTCCAAGCCTCTTGAATACTAGTAAACTTAAGTCTGCTCCATGATCAAAACTTTAAACTATAGATAATGTCCTTTTGCAGACCTCATATATTACAAAAGAAAATGAGAGCATCCCATGAGTAAACATGAAGATTGAGCTATGAGGCTGAGATCAACACAGTTTTTTAGGGATGTACAGGAATCATCATAAGCATTAAAAAGAATTCAGAATCCAGATATAATTCCACAGTTTGTATTATATGATAAAAAAATGAACGCACCTTACAACTCTTCTTGCTATTACTCTCTTGTGTCTTTCTCTTTGGCCTCCCATTAACATAGGGAGATACAAGACTCTCCATATAGATAGGGGCACAAATATACTCCTTAGTCTTGTAGAACAGCATATCACGACACAAAGTTCTCTTGTTAGGAACGTAATGTTCCTGCTCTTTCAAGCATTGTAAAGCTAAGTTCATATCACAGTCCTTTTCAAACATTTCCCAAGATAGCTTTCCATTGTAGTTCTTCAGCATCCATAAGTTATCAACACCAGATTCATATCGCTCATCATCAAGTTCGGAAATTTTGATAAATTTTTCTTCAGATAGCTGAAACGAAGCAATGACTCTCTTCTTATTCGGAGATGAAGAATCTTTCATAATCCAATGAAGTGCCCCATTGCATAAGATACCAATCCTACTATGAAATGAATACTTTACATCTCCAATTAGTTTCCAAACATTTGATTTCAAACTTAACACTTGAAAACACGTCCAGCCAACACGTTTACGGAACCCTAGTACAACCTTGTAATCATCCGTAGATGAATCATAGCCAAAACCCCAACATAAATGCTTGGTATCAAGAATTTGAGGCTCTTGTAGTGTTTGAACCTCTCTAGTTGAGGGATTAGCTACTACAAGTTGAGAAGCAAAAGAAGAGATGCATACAAGTCCATTGGAAGAACCAAGAAGATGAGAATCACGATCATCAAATAATCTGTCATCAACATCACAAACACGCGACCCGTTGCGATAAGAGACCCTTGACATAACAATCCTCCTATCTATATCATTGTTTTTGTAATCAATTTGGTAACTATAGTTCATATGGAATTTAATGCAACCAGAGCCAGAGATCAAATTTTCCCAAGACTTACATACACTTTTGCATTGGATTAGATCCCTCACATTCAATCTTTTCAGTATATTTGGAAGGACATCATCGTGAAGCTCTGCCATCGAAACCCTAGAGTCGGCAAGCCGATAGGAAAGAAAGGGGTGGGGGGGGTACCCACACGATAGTGAGAAATTTATTTATGTGGGGGTATTTATTACGAATTTTAGTTATCAACACTCATAAATGCGAAACATGATACGAAGAAATTATTACCATGATATTTTACCATAGAGTGAAATTCATTTACTGAAATGAATTTTACAAACCTACCATATATGATTAGTATATCAATACCGATAAGATCACTAATGCCATCAAGACATCATGATCTTCGATAATTGCTTTGCTACACCAACTGAAATCAGTGTTAATAACATACCTTCTTTCTCAAGTATTTCTTTTAAAATGACATTGTAACCAACCCAATCTTAAAATCTATTGTCATGTCCACCCACACATTTTTTTTGGTAATTCTAAGGCTTGCAACAATCCACTCGATGCCATTGTGAAATATTTATGGTGGTGACACGAGTCACACTCCGCCATCATTCTTGCTATGCCTTTACACATACCCTCCTAGTATACTTCCTTTGCCATTTTTTGGTAAGTTTTTGTAATCCTGAATGTCCCAAAATTGCACTCGCACATCACTCATGAAATAGACAAGGAATTCAAGATGATGATCGAGGCAGCACTAAACAACTTTGATAAAGGATTCAGTCACCTTCATCACTAAAAGCCTCGGTGGTGCGGAAGTCCCTTCTCGAACTTGCTGCCTTATTATCCAAAATTCTTGAGCCCAGGACAGCTCTCACAAAACCTCATTCCATTAGACTATCCATGGTACTGAAAGGGTATCGAAGGTTGATGATGACCCCTTTCATGAATGTATATCAGTTGTGTTTTTTTTGGGCCTATATTAAAATTCAAAATTATATCCTAATAGTTTGGACATCCAATTTAGATGTTCCTTAGTAATGATTTGTTGTTGTAAGTAAACATTTAAATCTTCGTTGGTTTGTCTGAACTATGAAACACTTTCACACGAAGTATGGATGCCACTTTTGAATGGCAAATACTATCGCTATTAGTTCTCTTTCATCAACTGCCTTGTGCCGAGAACCGGCACCAAAGAGCTAACTGTATTAGGCCTTAGGCCACTGGTATTCCTCCTTGCATGAGGACTGCCCCCAACCCAAGGCATGATGCATCGGTTTCCATAATGAATTCCTTGGGTAAAATACAGTATTACCAAGACCAGTATTTATATCATTGTTGTTTGGACACTACTAGAAAAAAAGCTTTTCTTGACAGACGAGTAGATAAAAAGCATATATAAAAGAAAACCTTTAGAAGAGTAGATAAAAAGCGACGGATCTGTTTTAGAGCCTTGAAAGCCGAGAGCATGAAGAGCAGTAGACAATCGTTGGAACCAAGATTGGGGAGCTTGCTTGAGTCCATACAAAGACTTAAGGAGAAGACAAACATGATTGGGTTTCGTTGGATCAACGAAACCCGGTGGTTGTTGTAAATAGACCGTCTCGGAGAGATTTCCATGTAAAAATGCATTCTGAACATCAAGTTGTCGTAAAGGCCAATTATGTGTCACCGCCAAAGATAGAACAACCCGAATAGTAGTCGATTTTACAACTGGACTGAAAGTGTCGTGATACTCAAGACCTTGTTGTTGATAAAACCTTTAGCAACCAAACGTGCTTCGTAGCGCACAATAGCCCCGGTATGATCGCGCTTGAGTTTGTAAACCCATTTACATTCAACGACATTCATATTTGAGACACGAGGGACTAAGGACCAAGTATTGTTCCTCAGAAGAGAAGAATACTCTTCTGCCATGGCCTGACGCCATTGAGGCAATTTGTTAGCAATAGTAAAGGTTGTGGGTTGAGTGTCAGGAGAGGAAGTATGAGTGTGATAGGAGGTGGGATCATATGGTTTGGTAGGCTTAGGATTAGGACGAAGGTTGGAGGGTCGAACGTGTGGTTGAGATTGGGTAGCTTCTGGTTGGGGAATGACCGTTTGAGGGAGAGAGGTGTCAAGTTGAGATGTGGTGGTTCATGGGTGTCGGTGATAAGTATGGAGGAGAGGGGGACGTTATGGAGATTTATGGGAAGGAGGAGATGTAGAAGATATAGGAGATGTAGGTGGAGTAGTAAGTAATATGGGTGGTGGTATGGTGGGTATATTTGAAGGGTCAGGAGTAGGATAGGATGATGTATATGGGTTAGAAGAAGAAGGTTCGGGTGGAGTTAGGGGTTGATGTTGTATGGAAAGGATCGTTGATGAAACCAAACATGACGAACTATATAAAGTCCTTCAGAGATAGGATCAAAGCATCGGTAACCATGATGGGATGTCCTATATCCAAGAAACACACATGGGAGACAGCGAAAATACATTTTATGCTTGTTGTACGGACGAAGGTGCGGAAAGCATTGACAACCGAACACACTAAGAAATAAAAAACCAGGTTTGTGTTTGAAAATATGTTCAAAAGGTGAGATGTTTTTGTTTGTACGGGAAGGCATGCGATTTATAAGATAAACAAATTGTGTCAAAAGCAAAATGCCAAAAACGTTGCGGAACAAAGGATTGGGCAAGAAGAGTAAGACCGGTTTCCACAACATGATGGTGACGACGTTCTACAAGAGCATTTTGTTCACTTGTATGAGGACAAGATAGGTGATGGATGATACCGAGAGATGAGAAAAATTGTGAAAGATTCCAAAATTCACTGCCCCAATCAGATTGAACTGATTTTAACTTAGTTTGGAACTGTCATTCAACAGTAAGAATAAGTTGTTTGAAAGTATTATAGACATTAGATTTGGCTTTTAAAGGAAAAAACCACATAAAGCGGGAAAAATGATCAACACACAATAAAAAATATCGATGCCCATCAAATGAGGTAACGGGAGTAGGTCCCCAAACATCACAGAAAAGTAAGTCTAAAATATGAGAGCTTTTATAAGTAGCGGATGACAAATGAAGTTTAGAGGATTTGCCAATAGAACATGAAGTACAAGTTGAAGTAACATGTTTATCTAGTAAAGGTAAACTATATTTAGAATTCATTGACTGCAACAACTGCTGATGAGGATGTCCAAGGCGTTGATGCCAAGTGATCGAAGAAGCACGAATGGCAGAGAAAGCAACTTTGGAGGAAGTTGTTGGGTTAATCGTTTATTTACCGGGTCACGGATACGGGTCAATAGGTCAATGATCTGGTAACTTATTGGTCATGGGTAACTGATGGAGTTTACAAGCATATCTATAAATATTAAAGATGGAAAATAAAAGGTGTTTACTTGTTCAAAAGTGGACCGATTCTTGAGGGGTCTTCCCATGTGAACTACTCCACCTAAAGATCTGGTCTAATCTAAGGACCCGTACACTTGCACATCATGCGGTCAAAACTAAATACTCATTCTAAACAATCAACTATTTTCTAAACCATAAAACATAAAACAATAGAAAAATTATTAAATTCAAAGTTTCAGCCATGCACAAACCAATTAACCCAACAGAAGTAGGCTGGAATCACGGAAGATGGAAGGAGTAAAGGCCACCACTACTTGGACCCGCGAGGAGGGTAGTGTGAGTAATCTCGTCCTTCACAACAAAAAAAGAAGTGTGAAACTCAAAGTAACCATTATTATCGTGGTAAAATTTTTGAACAGAGAGAAGATTTTGTTTGATTTCTGGGACATGAAGCATTTGTGAGAGATGAAAAGTTTTATGTGGAGAGTAAAGCTGTGAGGAACTGATATGAAGAATGGGTAAACCCTTACCGTTGCCAACATGTAGAGTGTCATGACCATTGTATGTCTGAGAATGATAAAAGTTGGAGAGGTCGGCTGCAACACGATTAGTTGAACTAGTATCGTTGACCAAAGAAGAGGAAACCTGGGAACGGTAATCAGCAAAATTAGCAGAGGGTTGTTGTCTCGTACAAATCGTTGTGGGATCACGATTAGGGCACTGGGATGGAACATGGCCAATACCGCACCTGTTACATGTGCCATAAACAATATTTTGATTAGATGCCCAAGTAAACCGAGTTCGATTACCTCCTCCTTGTTGTCAGTTATTATAGTTTCCACGACCTTGGTTGTTTGTTGAGCGACTGTTGCGATTGTTGCCTGATCGGTTTGTGTAGAAGGCTTGGGCTGGTGGTGAACTTGTTGGTTGAAGTTGTAACCCAAGCTATTGTGCGAGTTGTTGAATAGCCTGGACATCATCATCTTGTGACAAGGAGTGTCCGACAAGAGAGGGATTAGGTTGTCGGGTGGCAGCAGTGAATACTTGAGCTGGTGGCACCTCTGTAGAGGTCTTTCTGATCATGTAGTCGTGGTCAGAGAGAAGACCATTAAGTTCAGCAAAGGCAGTGGGAGAGTGTTGGGCTAACAAGGTGGATTTCAACCTATTATATTCGTCTCTTAAACCTGATATAACTGTTGAAGGTCATCACTAGCCCAATAGAATCATGTTATTGTCTAGAAGAAGTTAGCATGTTCTAGAATGATCCGAAAGATTCTAGAACATTATGGAATACTATGGAGGAGTGTTGAAGATGTCGGAAGATTCTAGAATACTCTAGAACAAGATGGAAAACCCTGGAAGGCTATGGAACATTCTAGAACACTATGGAAGACACAAGAATGTCTATACTTATCTAGGACATTATAGAACATTCTAGAAACATATAAAAGCTTGTAATAGATATAGAATATGGTAGATAGTTCTAGAATAGCCATGAATGTATGTAGATCTAGGTGTAGATATAGAATAAGGAGGTGGAAACACATATAAATAGGTGTGGAGCTCATTTTCTCCAAACAATCCAACATCCAAGTATCCAAGAAAAGCCTCCAAGTAAGAAAAAGTGTGTAGTAGTCTCACAAAGTGCAAGTTCTCCTTAAGCGTCTTAATAAAAGTCTTGTTGTTTCCCATATAAAGAGTCGTGTTCAACAATCTGGTATCAGAGCGAGGTTTCTTGATAGTGAGAACAAGTGATTCTCATTGTATCGTGAGTAGTTTGTGA